ACAGACGGTTCGCTCTTCGCAGGCTGTTTCGAACTCCTGGACTCGGAGCAAGCGCCTGCCTCAGCCTCTCAAAGTGTAGATTACAGGCGTGAGCCACCTGCACGGCCCTTCTTTGTTATTTCGATAGAGAAGTAGCTTTGTATCTTCTCCACTGTGTCTGGTGTAATAGTTTTATACGCAATGGATATAAACCGTGTTGATGCAGTTCAGGCTGTGTACTGGGGCTTCCTGTCTCTGTGTCTCTCTGGCAGCAGTCTCCATTTCCCAGCCATGCACAACGACCTTCTTGGGATGAGCCTTCAATTGTGAAATCTAACGGGTGCTGTGCACACGTGCTGTATTTAGAAGGTGGGTATTCCTAAAAGACATCTAACTAGTTTGCGATTGGCAGATATCCCTGAGAGTATTTCCACTGATCTCTTTCTTCCTCTATACTTGACCTGTCGCTGATTTAAACCTTGGATATGATGAAGCAAAGAGGCATGAATGAACGGAGATTTACAGACACATGTCGGGTTCGGCGCTCTGTATCTCTGGCTCCGACGTCAGCGACTGGACCGCAGTGATGTGTTGAGAACGAGCCTGCGCTCTGCCTCTTTTTCACGTTGAAGCAAGTCGACGCCGGCAGTGCTAGCGCAGGGAACAACGTCTTTGTCCGTTTTCGTTTGCACAAATACACATTCTTGCAAACTCGTGGATACTTGCAAACTTCGTGGATACTTCGTGGTTTGCAAAGAGATCCAATGGGACACTGGAGGCCTTCGTCGCTGGCCGGTTTGGTGCGGAGCCGGTGCGAAATGGGGTCTTCGGGGGTGTTGCCGCTTCACAGCATGGAGCAGGCTGCCCCCTCCCGTTTCCAGGGGGGCAGGATAGAAGCCTTTGTCGTTGGGAAAAGTGCGCCCATCTCAGAGGGTGCCAGGACCTCTAGAAAACGGTGTTGCTGCCGCCTCGACTTGTCGGTACTGGACGAGGTGCGCCGAGTCTTCATTCCCCGTATGTCTCTTTTTCCTTCGGGCCTCCGACGTCAGCGAACTGGACCGCAGGATGCTGTGAGAACGAGCTCTCCGCTCTGCCTCTTTTTGTCACGTTGGAAGGCAAGTCGACGCCTGGCAGTGCTAGCGCAGGGAACAACGTCTTTGTCCCCGTTTTCCGGTTTGCACAAAAGCACATTCTTTGCAAACCTCGTGGATACTTTGCAACTTCGTGGATACTTCGTGGTTTTGCAAAGAGACCACATGGGACACTGGAGGCCTTCGTCGCTGAGCCGTGTGGTGCGGAGCCCGCGTGTGCGAAATGCTGAGGTCTCGGGGGTGTTTGCCGCTTCACAGCATGGAGCAGGGGCTGGCCTCCCTCCCCGTTTCCAGGGTGGGCGGGGGAATAGAAGCGTCCCTTCTGTTCGTTGGTGAAAAGTGCGCCCATCTCAGAGGTGCCAGTGACCCTCTAGAAAACTGGTGGTTTTGCTGCGCCGCGACCTCTGTCGTTGACCTTGGACAGAGGTGCGCCCCTGAGTCTTCATTCCCCGTATTGTCTCTTACCCACCTCGCGTGCCATCCTAAATGTCGCAAGGAAGTGGCGGCAACACAGATGGGATAGCGTCATTTTCAGAGAGTTGCAAAACGAGTTAATGTAATTGATATAATTAAAGAGCTCTGACCTATTTATTTATTTATTTATTTCCTTTCTTTTCGGTTGCTCTTAGGTAGTTCTTCCCGCAGGATGAACTGAGAGAAGGGGCCACTCACTTGGCGGGAATGGAGAGCGGTTTGTCAGTCTCCAACATGCAGGACCCTTCCCCTTCACCCTTGGAAAAGCAGCCTGGTTCGGCCAACGGAAATGGAGACCTTGATTCAGGTAAGGTTTTGTCTTCTAGATCCACCTGGCTTTTGGAATGCATTGACCAATATCTTCTGAAATCCAGTATCCTGAAAATGGCCAGGAAACAATGAGGCAACATTTCTTCTACCTAGATCTCACATTCTGCGTGTTCCTGGCGTTTGCTGTCCGATCTATTCATTTATTTATTTATTTATTTTAGAATCAGGGCCTCGCTTTGTCACCCAGGCTAGGGTGCAGTGGCATTGGCATAGCTCACAGTAACCTCCAATTTCTGGGCTCAAACAATCAATGCTCCCTGCTCATTCTCCCCAGGAGCTAGGGCTACAGGTGCATACCACCATGCACGGCTAATTTTTTATTTTATTATTTTTTTGAAGAGACAGGGTCTTGCTGCTGTGTTGCCCGGGCTAGCCTTAAACACCTGGCCTCTAGTGATCCTCCCGCCTTGGCCTCCCAAAGCGCTGGGATTACTGTTGTCAGCCCCCGAGCCCAGATTGCTGTCCTGTTGAAAAGGCTATCGCAGTTTTAAATTTACTGCAGGATGTGGGTCAAACGAATATTCCTATACTAAGTATAGCAGGGTCGATTATAGCGAGATGACACATCACTTGAAAATCTCGGTGGCTTAAAGTGGTAAATATTTATAAATCATTACAGCGTCTCCAACAGACCTCACTGTGCGCCATCCTCCAGGGTCGGCGTGTCAGGACTGGGAATAGCAGGGCAGGAGGTCTTGAGCCAGCCATTCAGTGCTCCGGCTCAGAAGGGACAAACGGCTATCTTTGTCCAGCTTCCCTTGACCAGGAGAAGTTGGTCATAGGTTTGTGTCACAGCAAGGACGACAGGGAAATAGAATGCTCTCTCATGTGTCAGGGAGAGACAGGAGAACTGGGTCTGCCTAAAAGAGGCAAGACGTGTGCAAAGGGTTGAGCATGTCTTTGGGAAAAGTACACCGTGTGAAAGAAACTTAGGTCGACAGGGTCTTCAGTAAAGTGTTTCTCCCTTCAAAAAAATCTGAAAAACCAAAACAATCCTCCCCAGCACAACCTTTCATTGAATATTAATATTTAACTGATGAATTTATACATGCATCTTTTTCTAAATGTTTACACAATGAACGGGTTTATTCAAAAAGAATACTTTTTTTTTTTTTTTTTTTGAGACAGAGTCTCACTCTGTTGCCCAGGCTAGAGTGAGTGCCATGGCGTCAGCCTAGCTCACAGCAACCTCAGACTCCTGGGCTCAAGCGATCCTCCTGCCTCAGCCTCCCGAGTAGCTGGGACTACAGGCATGTGCCACCACGCCTGGCTAATTTTTTCTATATATATATTTTTAGTTTTCCAGATAATTTCTTTCTATTTTTAGTAGAGGCGGGGTCTTGCTCTTGCTCAGGCTGGCTTCGAACTCCTGACCTCGAGCAATCTGCCCGCCTCAGCCTCCTGAGTAGCTGGGACTACAGGCATGCGCCACCGTGCCCGGCTAATTTTTTTTCTATATATTTTTAGTTGGCCAATTAATTCCTTTCTATTTTTTAAGTAGAGATGGGGTCTGGCTCTTGCTCAGGCTGGTCTCGAACTTCTTAGCTCAAGCGATCCTCCTGCCTTGGCCTCCCAGAGAGCTAGGATTACAGGCGTGTGCCACTGCGCCTGGCCATGGATTCCTTAGTATGTTGAAAGAGGTTACTATCTGTTTCAAAGTCAGCTCACTTGTCCCCCGTTAAGATTTTGTACACATACAGCGTATGCAGAGAAGCGTCTTCTCCTACAAGTAGAGCCCAATCATTATCGCCCGATAGAAATACGGAAATTCTTTTCTGAGAAGGCAAAGTCCCATAGACTGAAGGGTCATCCTCGTTATTCTGCTTTTATTTAAGTACAGATCTGTCTTTTTTTGCTGCATGACATTATTTTTCCATGTTTTTGGAGATCTGTATTTTTTTTTGCCGTGACCGTATTTTGTTGGTATATGGTCCGCACACATGCTCAAAGTCTATCACTTCGTCGTTCTCCGTGGTTTATGTTTTCAAAAGTGCATTAAGAGCCAACTCTGTGTTGGTGTTCACACAGCTGCTGTGTATCTCGCTAGCTTGAGTAGATCCTGAGACTCATTAATGGTAACCTGGTGTCGGGGAAATGATTTGTGCTGACATTTCCGTGGGGCCGAGTCTGTGTGCTGGGGACTCTGAGAGTCAGAGTCATCGTGTCCGTGGCTGGGGGGAGGGTCCGTGCCACGAGCCCACGTGGACCCACTTCTTGATTAGTCCCTTGCTCTTGGGGGAGGGGGACGGCCTAAAACACACAAGATGTCCAGATCTTTAATAGAAATAGTATTTCTCCATAGCTCTAAATTATCTTAATGGTTTTCCTTGGAGTTCCTGTGTATGCTTGTACAGGGAGGGGAGTTTTAGATGACACTACAAAGACAGACACTTTTAAAGCGGAAATAAATTTAAAGCAGGGTGCAGGCCGGGCGTGGTGTCTCACGCCTGTAATCCTAGCTCTCTGGGAGGCCCAGGCGGGAGGATCGCTCAAGGTCAGGAGTTCGAAACCAGCCTGAGCAAGAGCGAGACCCCCGTCTCTACTAAAAACAGAAAGAAATTAATTGGCCAACTAAAAATATATAGAAAAAATTAGCCGGGCATGGTGACACATGCCTGTAGTCCCAGCTACTTGGGAGGTTGAGGCAGGAGGATTACTTGAGCCCAGGAGTTTGAGGTTGCTGTGAGCGAGGCTGACAAAACAGCACTCTAGTCTGGGCAACAGAGCGAGACTCTGGCTCAAAAGAAAAAACAAAAAAAAGCAGGGTCTAAACAAAACAGCACTCTAGTCTGGGCAACAGAGCGAGACTCTGGCTCAAAAGAAAAAACAAAAAAAAGCAGGGTCTAAGACTTGGGAGAATGCAGAGAGAGGCTGACTTCATTCTAGAAACTCAAATCTCATTTTGAGTATTAAAACTGTTAATCAGATATGATTCTTCAAGGAGTTTTTGATTATTTTTTTTAGACCAATTAACCCACAAATGTTTTCAGTGCTGGAATCCCCTGTGGGGATATTTTGTTCTGGGGCCAACGGGGGCGTGCTTGGGGCTGCTCAGATTCTTAGTGCTCAGGGGCTTTCCTGGGTGAGAGTTTGGGGGGATTTACATGTCCCCTATTCCAGAGAAGGCCCAGCCGGTGTTCTCCAGCTGGTTCTGTTTCCACTGTTGAATGAGGGACGGTGGATATATGAGCACACGTTCAGACGATATGACAGGCATCACAATTTCAAGCCTTTTACTTGAGTTAACTCAAGTTCACCCTGCCACCACCCACTGACATAGCTGCTTCTATTATCCCGTTTTCTGTCTCACTCTGTTGCCCGGGCTAGAGTGAGTGCCGTGGCGTCAGCCTCGCTCACAGCAACCTCAGACTCCTGGGGCTCAAGCGATCCTCCTGCCTCAGCCTCGAGTAGTGCTGGGAACTACAGGCATGTGCCACACGCCGGCTAATTTTTTTTTTTTTTTATATTTTCAGTTGGCCAATTAATTTCTCTCTATTTTTAGTAGAGATGGGGTCTTGTTGTCGCTCAGGCTGGTCTGAACTCCTGACCTTGGGCGATCCTCCCACCTCGGCCTCCCAGAGTGCTAGGATGACAGGCGTGAGCCACCATGCCTGGCCTTATTATCTCCATTTTATACAATGGGTGAGATGGGTGGTGTGTTGGCAGCAGGATTTAACCTCAGGCATCCCGAGACGTCCCGTGGGGTGCCTGCCCCCCCCCTTCAGCGCAGGGACGAGTCATCAGGAAATCCTGACACACACAGACAACATGCGTGCACACACATGCACACACACGTATTATAGGACAGAGGCACATGTCTGATTCTTTGCTGTTCTTTTCCGTGCACTGCTCGCCTGTCCCCTGCTTCGCCGTGCTACCTATCATACTTTGCTCTGCCCTCAAGTGACTCCGCCTGCGTGACAACCGCTCTTCTCCCTGAGAAGTTATGGGGTCAAAGAATGGGAAAAACCCTAACCTGGTTGCTCCGGGTGTTTTTCTCTTGGGTTGTTTATTTCTCCCCACTCCTGCAGGCCCAGCCTCTGTGAGTGCCTTGATCATGAGTCTCCTGGAAAGAACTTCGCTGAAAACTGCAGACTCTGGGTCTCATTTGCAGGGTTGTTCTTTCTCCCCCCCTTTTTCCTAAGGCAAGCTCACATCGGAGCCGGGGTTCATAACGGGCTCCCGAGTCCTGTAATGGGCACGGTATCCCATTTCCTCCTGCTCCCAGGAAGGCCGGGTGAGTGCGTGGCTGACAGGAGCACAGGGAGGGAGAGGAGACCGAGCAGACGCGTCCTCAGGTCCACGGAGAAGAACGTGCCCCAGGGTCGCTGCCGGGTCCTGAGTGCCGCGTGGCCGTGGTCAAAGCTAGCAGAGCAATAGGCGAATGCAGCGGTCAGCAGACTCCTGGGCACGGTTTCTGCAGGCCTGCCAAGTGTCACTTCCTGGTGAGGACTGCAGATAAAGCCGTGTTGTCCATGTAGAGCCTCTGTGTAGAAAAGAATCGTGCAGGAAACCCGGCTGTGATTACTTTTTTTCTTTTTTTTTTTTTTTTTGGCGTTGGGATTATGTTAACTGGAGAAACTGCACAGGCTCTATCTTTTGGAAGAACAGGGAATACATTCTTCTTAGAAAAACTCAGACCTTACCCTTCTTGCTGGGAGCTAGTTCTATGGGGCTCAGCGCTCTTCCTTTTTTTCCGGAACCTTCTTTGAATAGCTGCGGCTTCCCCTGGCTAGCTGAGTTTTCATGTTTTGGTGTTGTTTGTTTTTTTTTTTTTCCTTTTCCTTTAGAAAAACTCTGGCCATCTGGGTAGTGGGGATAATCAGGAGGACCTTGGTGTTAGGAGAACTGTCCCCGCCTGTGGAGGTCTCTCTTCTTGAGTTTAGGTCTAGGGTCAGCAGTGGGCAACTGTTCCTTTCTGTCTATACCGTTGGTTACATGTACTCGCTCACACCTGAACTAGCGTCTAAATCTCATGGTAGTAAGAAGTGACTCTCCGCGTTTAAAATAAGAAAGATTTCAGTGTCTTTCTTTCTTTCTCTTTGCACATTTAAAACAATTATCTAGCACATCTCAGAAGGTGCTCAGTAAGAACTGGGTTCGCCCTCCGTCTGCCAATTCTCAGTTCCCTTATTGGGTACTGGTCTCAGGCTTTAATATTCAGCCTTGCAAAGCGAGTCTCACTTCAGATTGTAAGACTGTCCAAACTCAAGATTTTATTACTTAAAAACTAAAAATCATGTACGGGGCCGCTTGTTTGTCCCATCGTTCACTGCGGTGACTTCGCTTGTACCCCAGCTTCTAGTAAGGTATGCTTTCTACGTTTATCAGGAAACACTCTTGTCCCACAAATAGCCTTTTCTGTTTCCTAAAACTGGATTGCTGCTAACGGACACGCCTGTTTTCTTCTAAATTGTGAAATTTCCTCAGTCGCGCTGCATAGTGGGTTTTCGTGACATCATGGGGAAATGCCTCCCGCGGAGAGGGGGACTGTCAGAGTTTCCCTGGTAAAATGTTTACGGGTTTAAGAGGTTTATGAATCACCCATAAATATTTGCACTGGGTTTATGAGACCTCTCCTCATAAACATTGCGTGTGTTTATCTATTGCCAGTTTTGAAACATCTTTAGGGAATCAGAACGTTCAGGGCACACAGACCTCAGGAAGGCTTGTGTGCGACAGATTTTAAGAGACTGCATTGCGATGACCCTAAATTTTGTTCCTGACTTTGCTGAAACAGCATGGAGTCATCAGAGCTGGGCATAAAAGGTTTTTTGATTTTTTTTAAATCCCATCCTGGGCTGGCGTTTGGAGTACTTTTTTTTTTTTTGGAGACAGAGTCTCACTCTGTTGCCCAGGCTAGAGTGAGTGCCGTGGCGTCAGCCTAGCTCACAGCAACCTCAAACTCCTGGGCTCCAGCGATCCTCCTGCCTCAGTCTCCCGAGTAGCTGGGACTACAGGCATGTGCCACCATGCCCGGCTAATTTTTTCTATATATGCTTTTAGTTGTCTAGCTAATTTCTTTCTGATTTTTTTTTTTTTTAAGTAGAGACGGGGTCTCGTTCTTGCTCAGGCTGGTCTCGAACTCCTGAGCTCAAATGATCCGCCCTCCTCGGCCTCCCAGAGTGCTAGGATTACAGGCGTGAGCCACTGCGCCTGGCCTGGGGTACTTTTTAAAGTGTTTTCCTTAGGCCAGCAGAGAGTAACAGGGCTAACTGTTCTTCCTCACGCCTGCCTGGGGGAATCCAGCATCACCATCTGACCTCATGGTTAGCTTGACCGCGTACATGAGTATATTCCGAAGTGTCGAGCCCGTTCTGCTGGGAAGAAATGTAGTTTGTAACGTATTAATGTTTGGTGGGAGCACAGTTTTTGGTAAAATATTAGTAGCATAGATTAGAATTGCATGAAGAATAAAGAACCACAACCAGTGGTCTCAAAATGGAAGCTGAGAGATTTAGGGTCTGGTCGCCCCTGATTTGAAGGGATAGCATCGTGGAATCTTAGTGGGTTCTGTGACTCAGGGCGCTAAGGGCTCCTACCCCAGGTGCTGGTGGCAGCAGTTTCTGACGGTTGAGCCTCGAATCAGATGTTTCTGATGTGGAGGAATGACTCGCTCAACAAGACGGCCTGCTCCACCTTCCAACAGTGTCCTTCTTGGGAAGCCTCTTGCCTCCTTCGGCCCAGGGCTGAGGTTCACGCCGACGTCTTCTCCCCGGTTTCGCGAACCGGTTCCGGGGGTGCAGCTCACTCTGTTGTCTCTGTCTTAGCCGCCTCCTGTGTCTTCTCTTGGCCTGGTTTTGGCTGTGGAGTGTTTGGATGCTCACCAACACGGAGAGGCACATGGGTCAGCCTGGAAGTGTCCCCCGGATTCTGCAGGTGGAGGGACGGGGCCCTGGTGGTTTCTGATGGCAGGTGCAGGCAGGAGAAAGGGGGAGGGGGGAAGGTGCTTCGTGAGAGCCCCAGCTTTGACAAGTCAGACATCCTGCGACGGGCTCCTGACTCTGGACGGGGCAGCAGCGGCTCTTGGTGACTCCCTCACCGTTCTGAGCCCCTGCGATGGCCTCTGTGAGCGTCTTGTCCATCAGGGTTTTCGGAAGGATTCCGAGGCGTTGCAGGGAAAGTGCTGTTTTAGTCCACTTTGTGTTGCTATGATAGAATACCAGAGGCTGGGCAAAGAGAAGAGGTTTATTCGGCTCACGATTCTGGTGCCTGGGAAGTCCGGGATGGGGCAGTCCCATCTGGAAGGGAGTGGGCTTGGGTGGAGAGATCACATGGCAAGAGAGGAAACAAGAGAGAGAGAACGAGGGAGCCAGCCAGACTCTTCACCAGCTTCTCTCTGGGAACTAGGCAATTTCTTGGAGAGCCAGAAGCCACCCCTGCCGCAGGGCATGAATCTATCTCTGAGTGACCTGCACCTGTGACCCAGGCACCTCCCACCAGGCCCTATGTCCCTGCACTGCCACAGGGAGGGTCACATTTCAGCTTGAAATTTGGCAGGACAGGCTGTGTCCGAACCACAGCAAGCAGGTGGCAGAGGACCGACGCCCAAACGGAGCATGGCTCTCAGGACCCTCCAGGGAGCGTGGTGGTTTTGTGGAGCTGGAAGAGTCCACGACAGCTAGCACAGGGAGGTTGCAGGGCGGTTCTGGTTGAGCTGAGGCGAGACAAGGAGGGTGGAAAGAAATTCTGGACTTTCTCTGCAGCAAGTTTGCTATCCTCGGTCACTGTGACACTGGCCCGGACACAGGCACATAGATGGTGGTGAACTGATGCCTCTGACTAGTACATGAGGAAGCAAGTTTGGCAGTCGATGCCTTGTGCTGTGCTGTTTTTTTTGGGGGGGGAGTGTCGTGGGCAGAATCAGCAGGTGCCCTGCCTACCCCGGGTGTTTTGCAGAAGGTGACACTTTGAGTGTGCTGCACTATGTCTTCAAAGCTCAGATCTCCCTGGTACCACCCGTCGTTGGCTGGGGGCTGCAGGACCCATTGCCTTATTTGGGGAGCACATTTCTGCCTGAAGAGCTTCAACCCCGGGGGGCGGGGGGAACAGGATGTTGAGAGAGCCACGAAAGCGATGTTTTCTCATCGGATGGCTTTTTCTTTTTTTCTTGGACGTTCTGTCGTAAGTCATTTAACTGGGGTAAAACTGAAGGAGGTGATTCTAAGCAACTTCGGCTTAGAAGGCAACATCCAAGGTACCTTTCACTTTAGCATATTCTGACTTTGCAAAACATTAACTTCTTCTCCCAGTTTCTGAGACGATGCAGAGTATCAGGAGAGGATCATGCTTCCTGCTTACAAGTTAAAATGTTTTAGTAGAAAAAAAGGTAGTGAAAGCCTCCAAAATAAAAAAATAAAATAAATAAAATTAGGTACAGACCCACCTGTCCCTAATTCTCCAGCCGCCTGGACAGGATAGGCAGCATTTCTGCACTGACTGTAGGACTGAAGGCAGTAGTTATGCTTGGCCAGTGAAGTAGGCTCTTGCTTGTAGAAAATGCACGGGCTGAACCTCAGCATCCACTGAGCAGTGTTGCAGGAGAGAACCCACATTTTCGAAGCTCTCATTTGCTTGTTTGGACAACTCCTCCTGTTGTATGTTTGTTCCCTAACGACAGCCTTGCAAACAGGCTAAAATACTCATGTACACCTTATTATGTCTTTCCATTTGAAACCACGACATCCCGTCTACTACGATACCTGTCCCTGAAAATGTGTCATTTGGTGCTTTTCAGTTGCACAGATTACATCTTACTAGTACGTAAGCCTTAAAAGTTTTTGGGAATTTGCTTGGTCTGTGCACATTTCCAGTAGTTAGGATTTTAAGAGCCGGGGTGCACGTCTGATTGTGTTTCTGTCTGCTCCGTGGGGTCGGAGTGGCACACGTTCTGTGGGTGCGTGCCGCCGTGTCTGGCCCTGAGAGCTCTCTCTCTCCGCAGCAGGCGAGAGTCGGGGATCCTGGACGGGGAGGTGTCAGTTACTGTCGCTAACTTGCCAGGATCCTTCTAGGCATCGTTTTTTTGTTTTTTTTTTTTTCTTTTTCCTTCTTAAAAATGACATCAGAGTCAGCGCTTTGTACCGTTCCTTGTGGCATTGACAGGCAAGTATATTATTTTATAATCTCCAGGTATAGGAAGAAGCCCGGGGAGAGACGGCGCTGGTTCTCTGTAGACATCGTGTGTATTCGGTGCCAGACAGTTTCCAGCACCTTCTTCTCCCACCTTCCTGCAGGCTGGTGCGTTTCAAGCTAACGCACGCGCAGGCATGCAGCTGCTGTGCCTCGAAGCGAGCCTCGTGCCATCTCCCCAGGAACGCTTCGTGCAGCTCTTAATTTCGTCTGGGCCGCCGAAGCAGAATTTCCCCAGTGTTTCCCTTTCTTTAGTCAGCCTCTCTAAGATCAGCAAAGTGAAGCTCCTCGAGGAATTCAGCAGCGGGATCCTCCTCGCCGACAGAATTAGCTTATCCTCTTTGCACACGAAAGGGTTTTCTGGTCTCGGTTGAAGGCCAGCCCCTCTTTCCCGCCTTTGCTCCAGCGTTGATATTCTCTTCTTTGGTTTTCCCCGCAGAGGAGGGCTCCAGCCTGGAGGAGATCGGCTTCAACTGGGGAGAGTATCTGGAAGAAACAGGCGCCAGTGCCGCGCCGCACACGTCGTTCAAACACGTAAGTTGAGGCTGCTCTTCCCTCCCGACCTGCGTCCGGGGAGGGGGGTGGCAGGGGAGGGTTTCTCCAGGGACAAGCCGGAGAACCGATCCGAAGAAAGGCAGTGGGAGGAGGGACATTCTGCCCAGGTTTCTTGGGATAAATCGGGACGGTCCTTGGAAGTCAGTGTGGTTTTCACAGATACCCGCAGGGAAAATGAGCCACAGGTCAGATTCATTTGAATAAATAAGCAAAAAGCCAACAAGCTAGGCAAGTGGGTATAATGTGTAACGTCTTCTTTGTAGGTGTAATGCCTATTTATTTTCATTTTGAATTGATGTTTTTATTTTGAAAGGACCTGTAAAAGTTTTATAGCCATTTGTGGGCAGGTGAGTCATAGCACAGGAAATAACCATTACATGTGCTGAGAGCATTTGGAGCCAACCAACCAAAAACAAAGATTCCATCGATAGTATTTCTTTGCAAATAAATGCAAATAGTATGCCCAGCAGAGGGCAAATCCTAGAAAATTTAAAAAAAAAATCAGTTTTCATCAGAGTTTTGCTTAGGTGTGAGATATTGGTAATACATCATTAGTAAGGAAAAGGCTAAATTTCTAGGACCTGAGTTCTTAAGCGTCAGTATTGTTTTAATGGAAATGGAGATTTGACCCTGAGATACATTTTTGCACTGGGCTACTCGGGGTGCAGAGATTTAGCCTGAATATCATAAGCAAATTGGGACCCTTTCTTACCCTATACTTCTTCCTATTGGCTGACTGAAGAAGCCAGAACTTTGATTTTTTAATTTTTATTATTTTTTTTCTTTTGAGGCAGGGTCTGGCTATGTTGCCCAGCCTGGCCTTGAACTCCTGAGCTCAAGCAGTCCTTCCACCTCCCGCATGGCTGGGGTTACAGGCATGAGCCACTGCGTCTGGCTTGATTCCTTATTTTATTTTGTTTTATTTATTTTATTTTATTTTTTAGACAGAGTCTCGCTGTGTTGCCCAGGCTAGAGTGAGTGCCGTGGCGTCAGCCTAGCTCACAGCAACCTCAGACTCCTGGGCTCAGGCAATCCTCCTGCCTCAGCCTCCCGAGTAACTGGGACTACAGGCATGCGCCACCATGCCCGGCTAATTTTTTCCATATATATTAGTTGGCCAATTGATTTCTTTCTATTTTTAGTAGAGACGGGGTCTCACTCTTGCTGAGGCTGGTTTCGAACTCCTGACCTCGAGCAATCCGCCTGCCTCGGCCTCCCAGAGTGCTAGGATTACAGGCGTGAGCCACGGCGCCCGGCTTGATTCCTTATTTTAATGTAAAACATTTTATTCTTTTTGGAGACGCAGTGTTCTTTCGAAGGGGAATTTAAGATTCCATTTAAATTTGCGTGACCTCCTGAAGGCAGGTGGCTTTGCCCTTCCTCTTTTTTGCTCGTCACGCTGTGACGGCTAGTGTTTTAGGAATGTGACTGTGGCTGTTTAGTAAAGCCGAGAGCTAAATATTTTAAAACATACCAGAACCAAGGCTTTCCTAGCCTGCAGCGTGGCTGTGTGGTCCTGCAAAAGCCATGGTGGCATTTACGGCTTTAGGTGCTGGGATGATTTGGTGGTTTCCTTGGGCAGTCGAAGACAACTTTTTCCTTCCTTTCTGCACCGGTTTCTCTCTGTCTGGGGCCACTCCCCGATTTCTTTGATGCAATCAATCCCCCTGCCTCCCTTTAAGCCACAGTGTGGTGTCCTGGAGACTGTCACATAGGACTTCACGCAGAACTTCCCCGGGCCTGAGTCCCAGGTTTAAAGGAAAAACAGCATTGGACCCAGGGAAATGTAACTTATAATTTCCATCATCTCCTTTAAGCACCAGCTGCTTATGGACAGAAGATATGTCAGCTTTGGAATATTATGAAAAACTAGAAAGCTTTTTGCGGGGGGCTGAGGGCTGATAAATAGCCATAGGTTATAACCCTTAATTAAAAAAAAAATAAAAATAAAAAGTCCGTTTTCTAGGGCTGTGCTGTTCATGAAGTAGCCACTACCTCGTGGATCTATGGAGCACTTGCAAAGTACGCGGTCCGGATTGAGATAGGCTCCGAGTGTAGACTGTACACCGGGTTTTGAAGGCTTCATGGGAAAACTAGAATGTCAGCTATTTCGTTGATTTTTTTAAATATGGATTATATGTTGAGGCGATGCTGTTTTGAATATATTGGGTTAAATATAATATATTGTTCAAATTAATTTTATCTATCATAGCTTGCTTTTTTTTTTTTTTCTTCCCCCTTAATGTGGTTGCTAGGAAATTTAGCATGACTTTTGTGGCTTACATTATCTTTCACTCAGACATATACATGCCTGTTTCAGGACAATAGAAGTATTGGCTTAAAGTGCTGTGTTTTTACTACCGTGTTTCCCTGAAAATAAGCCCTACCCATAAAATAAGCCCTAGCAGGATTTCTAAGCATGTGCGCAATAGAAGCCCCACCCCGAAAATAAGCCCTAGTGACGGGAGTGGCTACGCAGCGCGTCTGCACAACCCATGCGTGTCGTCGTGGAGCGGGAAAGAACAGGAGCAGCCCTTCTCATCTGCCCTGTGAGAGCTCTATTGCTTGACATGAGAGATTGGGGCCAGTGGTTCTAAAGGAAATAGAGTCGCAAGACATTCAGGATGGGATTCGGGGTTTGGAGAGTGATGATGATGTTCCAGAAGAAGATGACTTCACTCTATTTGAATCAATGTAGATGGTCCTACCGGTCTTAAAAAAAAATAACACGTCCCCTGAAAATAAGCCCTAGGGTGTCTTCTTGAGGAAAAATAAATAAAAGAGCCTGTCTTATTTTCGGGGAAACACGGTAGTTCTTGTCATCTTCCGGATGCATGTGGCTAATGTTGGCCTTTCTGTGTTTCTGACTCCTGAAGGTGGAGATCAGCATTCAAAGCAACTTCCAGCCGGGGATGAAGTTGGAGGTGGCCAACAAGAACAACCCGGACACGTACTGGGTGGCCACCATCATCACCACATGCGGCCAGCTGCTGCTCCTGCGCTACTGCGGCTACGGGGAGGACCGCAGGGCCGACTTCTGGTGCGACGTGGTCATAGCGGATCTGCACCCCGTGGGGTGGTGCACGCAGAACAACAAGGTGTTGATGCCGCCGGACGGTGAGCCCGTTTCGAAGGCTTTGCTTTTGCAAGCCATCGTCCTTCTCGTGGTTGCCGTAAGGGGGGGAGGCAGGGGGAACCTTGTAGAGCATCCCCAAGGGATTTTAGCACAAGGGTCTTGCATTGCTTTGCACGTCGGCTTTTGGGCCTTGTTAGCCTGGAGGGTGCCGGGGTCAGTGGGGAGAGGGTGCGTTCTCAGACGTCAGACCTGGTCCTGGCAGTTGAGCCAACCGTGCCTTTGGGAAATTGAAGGTGTTGGAGCCTCATCCTCAGATTGCTTTCGGAGGGTAGGAAAGCAAGGCTGACGGGATAATACCGGGATTCGGGGTCTCGTTTTCTCTTTGGTGATTGATTTTGTTGCTTTTCTTCTGTGAGTCGGCATTTCGAACGGGACTAGACGGCGTCTTCAATAAGAGGCTTCTCTAATACCGTGTTTCCCCGAAAATAAGACACGGTCTTATATTTGTTTTTCCTCAAGAAGACACCTTAGGGCTTATTTTCAGGGGATGTGTTATTTTTTTTTTAAGTACGGTACAACCATCTACATTGATTCAAATAGAGTTAAGTCGTCTTCTTCTGGAACATCATCATCTCTCTCCAGACCCCGAATTCCATCCTGAATGGATGGAATTGCGACTGTATTTCCTTTAGAAATTGCGATTGTATTTCCTTTAGAACCACTGACCCCAATCTCTCCTGTCGAGCACTAGAGCTCTCATGGGGCAGATGAGAAGGGCTGCTCGTCTTCTTTCCCGCTCCGCGACGACACGCATGGGTTGTGCAGATGCGCTGCGCAGAACGCCCGTCACTAGGGCTTATTTTCGGGGTGGGGCTTCTATTGCGCACATGCTTAGACATCCTGCTAGGGCTTATTTTATGGGTAGGTCTTATTTTCGGGGAAACGCGGTACGTCTTGGTCTGTCTTGTCGCGGGGAGGCTGTCAGGGTGTGAAGCATTTAGGACAGATGAAGACAGGTGACATCGCTCTCTAGAGGATGGCCAAAAGCTCAGACAGATAAGATGCATTTAGTTGCCACAAAGCTGGGGCTCTGGAGAGGGGCAGTTCCCCACCTGCAGGGGACGTCTGGCAGTGTCTGGGAGCATTTTTGGTTGGGGAGGTGTGGGAAGGGGGTTGCTACTGACATTTGGTTGGAAGAGGCCAGGGGTGCTGCTAGACCCGCTACAATGCACAGGACAGCTGGGTAGCCACAAACTGTGGGCTCAACCTGACATAGGACCGAGGTCGGCGGACCCTGCTGTGAGAGAGTGGGTTGCATATTATAATAAATGCATTGAAGAAACGCCTCCAAACCCGGACTTGAGAAAACCGAGTTCGACCAAGTATTAGAGTCTCAAGGCCCTGTGCTCTGTGTTTCATTATGTGCTAACCACAGCAGTGACAACCTGCAGGCCTTCGATGCTACCTTCCAAGCCTGTGTCATGTCCTCTTAGCAGCCTGTTTTTATTTTGAAGTGATGTCTACACTTTCGGAGGTAAAAATCCTGAGGTTTATTTTGGCCGTGATGTTAGCCCGCGGCCTGAGCTTCCAGAGTATCTGAGTTTTAGCGTCTTCTTTTTAGGTGATGATATATTGTTTTTCTGGTTGGTGGGAACGGCCAGTGGCTTTTTTTTTTTACTACCCTTTGTTGTGCATAATCGATCTCCTGCTAAGGAGGGGGCCGTAAACCATGGCTGGAGTTTCAGAGTTGGGTTTATGTGACATTTGTCAGGGTCGAGCTCGTCGCCTTGCTGACATCTTGGCCCTGTCTTGTCCTAGAAGAAGGAGAAAACGGGTCTGCTTTCTTTTCTTACCTCTCTGGGTCTTTGCACCTGCTCTCTCTGGTGCTGGGAGCCTCCTTCCTCCCCTCTTCCTTCTCCTCTTCCTCCAGCTGCCAGCATCATGTTTCTCCATGAATCAGCTGTGGACGTGTAAGTGCAACCGTACTTGCAAACGTGTGGTGCTTTGAACAGTGTGCTTCACCTACCTGGATGGACAGTCAGCCCCTGGCGTGAGCTCGGTCTCCCGGGCTCGGAGTGCCAGCACTTAAACTGCCTGTGCTTGGGGACTTCCTGGCGAAGATTCTCTGGGTCCCTAGCCGAGCGATGCCCTCCCTGAAGAAGGTTGGGATCCTGCTTATGCAGTAGCCCGAAGCGGTAAGGACAAGAGTCGCTGCTGATACCAGGGCACAGGAGCTGCTGATGCCCTCCTTAACCTGCCTCTGGGCTACACCCCTGTCCTCTGTCTGCACGGGGAGCCCCCGAGTCTGACCCCTCTGCTGGAGGGCTCTTCTTAGGTGAGCTCTGGAGAATAGCTGTTAGCGGATCGGGCTCCACTTTTAGTTCTCATCCCAGTTGTGCATAAACAGGTTGGAGGGGAAGGAGGCACGTTTGGGGCTAAGCAGTGCCCTGTAATGCTTTTTGGGAACGCCTGCTTAGCCCCTGCCCCAGCCCACATGGGTCCGGAGTGACATTTTATTTATTTATTTATTTTTGAGACAGAGTCTCACTCTGTTGCCTGGGCTAGAGTGCCGTGGTATCAGCCTAACTCACAGCAACCTCCATCAAACTCCTGGGCTCAAGCGATCCTCCTGCCTCAGCCTCCCAAGTAGCTGGGACTACAGGCATGCGCTGCCGTGCCCGGCTAATTTTTTTTCTATATATTTTTAGTTGGCCAATTAATTCCTCTCTATTTTTTTAGTAGAGACGGGGGTCTCGCTCTTGCTCAGGCTGGTTTCGAACTCCTGACCTCGAGCGATCCTCCTGCCTCGGCCTCCCACAGAGTGCTAAGATCACACGCGTGAGCCACCGCACCCGGCCATGAGTCTTGAAGGCATTTGAGGCACCAGATTGTGTCTTCCCAAATCTGATGTTAGCACATTAGGCGTGAGCCGCCACGCCCGGCCGGTTTCACTTCTTAATAGCTGCTCTAGTGAATAGCATTAGAGAGAAGTTCCGGGGTGCTGAATCTTAACACTCTTTAAGAGCTACCGTGTGCATTTGGTAAAAATCCATGCTGGTGTTGAGAGCGAGGGCGGAGTCTGTGAATCAGTTCTTCTTCCTCGCTTGGAAGGGAAATGTGGCAGCCGCCACAGCTTCGGAATCACATTTGTATCCCACTGACTTGGTGCTATTAGACAAGACACAGCCGAGGCCCTTAAAATGACAAGTTCAGAGTGAAAAACGGGAAAACCCTGGAACAAGGGAAACCGTGAATGTAACCGAAAGATTGAAAGTCTGTTCCAGCAGTTATAGGTTCTGCTAATTTGAGGAGGTCTTCAGTGTCTTGTTTTGTTTTTTTTAAAGAAACTTAAAAAAAAAATTTTAGTAGGTAAATCAATATAACTTGGAGATCTCTAGTGCAGAGAACAAAGTCAGGAAATAGCAGCAGGTTCACGGGGCAAGAGGTTTTTATTGATCGCTGTAGGACGGAATAATTATTGCTTTGTAACCAGAGGCAGCAGTTGTTCCAGAGGGAATAGTAGAATCTATTTTTCGAGCAGGGATTCCTGTCCGTGGTGTTTTCTGTCTTAGAGAGCGAATATGGTTGTAAATTCTGCAGCGAGGCCTGGTCCATCTTTTTTGTGGCTAAACACGAAAGGCGTCGTGGGCTATTAGCAGGAGTTCCAGCAGTCCACGGTGCAGGCTGCTGCTGTTTGGGAGACTGCGTGGTGGCAGAGAGGTTTCCTTACCGATCCCCGGGAGGCAGGGAGGTGTAAAGGGAGGGGCCTGAGGTTGGAGCCAGAGATCTGGGTTCGAATCCTGCCTCTGCTGTTAGTGCAAGTCCCTGGGAGGCTCCCTGCTCAGCTTTCCGTATTTGGAAGGAGGGATTGCAGTATATAATCACCGAAGAGCTTTCCAGTCTTGCAATGCCTTGGTTTGTGCTCCCCGTGGAGGAAGAAAGGTGTGGGGTGCCAGTCGTCCTGCTTCATGCTTGGAATTCGGGTCCGTACAAGTCTAGCCCGGGACTCTGTCCTGACTCGGAAGTGAGGTGTCGGAATTGCTGATGGGTTCACTGCAGGACCCATTCACGAGGTTTGGAAGTTATTGTGAGTGCCTGGGCGGGGTTTCCCTCCGCGAAGAACTGCAGAAGGCTGTTCTCGTCTGGACCCCAGAGACCCGGAGTGTCCCGTCCTTGAGCCTGTCCAGTCTGGGCTGTGGGCGGCAGCCTGGGAGTGCCTGGAAATCCTGCCCGTTGTCTCCTGGGAGGAGGAAGAGGATGGCTTCCCTTGTCAGACTTCCCTGCGACCCATCTCTCAGGAGGACGTTTTTGGGATTGTCCAGAGCGGTCTCTGCTCGCTCTTCTGAAGTCACTGCATGGAAAGCAAACGATTGCGTCATCTTAGATAATAGTTTTAACGACGCACATAGAACTCCTTACGGTTCTGTGTTTTTCCTGCCTCTCGATTTACAGTTGGTTTAAGCTGTGAATTAATGTGGGCCGTCCTTGGTTCCGTTAAAAGTTACAGGGAAGGGAGACCGGGGTGGCAGGAGCCCCAGGAGATGTCACTGGGACGTGGCTCCCACCAGCCGCCGGAGAACCCCGCTAACGAGGACGTGTTCAGAGGGACCCGGGTTCAGCGGCCAGTCGGCTGGCGGTTCGGAGAGTGGCTTTCGTGCTCGGGAGCTAATCGGCACTAATATCTCCTATTAAAAGTATTAAGGAGCACGCTACATGAAAGCACCGCTGAGTGCCGAGGAGGATCATGGCTCTTATTAGCGGAGCAAAATGTGAAATGCTTTGGCTTAGTAAATCAATGAGACTTGATTTATTCATAAGCACACGCAAAGGGCAGCTGCCAAATAATTATTGTTTATGGTGATAATGTACGGAAGTCATTTAATCCACTGACTGTTTCGTTGTTATTTACTGAGAAGTGGTGACATTACCTCTTAATGTCCGGGGTTGGGGAGCCCTTAGGAGTTGGAGCTGGTACCTGCCGAGTCCCTGCAGAGACGCCCCCGTAGGGTCGCAGGTAGATAAGTGCAATGATGCATGTCCA